GGCTGACTGCCCAGCCCTCCTCCCCACCAGGTGCCCGTCACCTGCTGCTTCATCCACGGAGAGCTCGTTGGCCAAAATGCCGCCGATCTTGCTGAAGGCAGGCAGCTGCAGCCCGTACTTCTCCAGCTCCCGCTTCATGTTGTTGATCTCCTCCTCTGGAGCAGAGCACAGAGACGCCACTGGAGTGGGGGACAGCCAGCAGAGCCCCCATTCCCCTCCCAAACCAGAGGGGTGCAGAAAATCCCCACACTGGGGGGAGCATCCCTGCGGCGGCTTTGGCAAAGCTCACCCAAAATCTTCACTCCCCACATCCCTCCTGCCACAGGATCCCAAAACATCAATGGCAAACCCCTCCTCACCAGCCCCCACACAGCAGCGTACCTGTGAAGTTCACTTTGCCATACAGGTCCTGGATCTGAGGAGCCAGCCCCAGCTTGAAGAGGTACAAGCTGAAAGACAGACCATGACTGTAACATCACCTGCTCCTCCCTCCTGAGCTCCTGTGGCAGACGAGGCTGGCGGGTGATGCCACCAAAGGGCTCATGAGCACAAACATGAGCGGCTCCTGAGTGGTGACAGCCAGGCCAGGCCACCCACCTGAGTGCGTGGATGCAGTAGACCACCCGGGGCATGTTCTTCTTGTCATAGATGTCGGTGGTCTCCGGGTGGAAGATCTGCCAGAAGAACAAGAGACAGCTCAGGTGGGGATGGCATCGAGACAGTCCGTTGGTGTCCAAGGGTGGGGGGCAGAGACAAAGCCCCCCTGCCACACCAGCGCTGCCCACACAGCAGAGGCCAGTGTGTCCCTTGGCCAGGGAGAGCAGAGGGGGGACGTTACCGAGGGAAGCCCCACGTGGCTCATGGCGTCACGCCAGTAGTTGATGTTATCCGTGTGCCGAAAGTGAAGCCCAGCTGCCTGGAAAAGAGGAGCTGGAGTCAGGCTCAACTTCACCTTCTCCCATCCCCGGGGTCCCCCACCAAACCCACGCAGCCAGGGCGAGCAGCTGAAGTCAGAAGCAACACCTGTGAACCCCACAGGGCAGCACAGTTCATGGACCACATTGCAGCCATTCGCCACGAAACTGTCCCCCAGTGAGTGCTGTTGGCCAGGCCCTCCTTGCCCTGCACTCACCAGTGACAGGGAGGTTTGGGGACACACCCTAAGGATCACACCCCTGGTGTCACAGCCTTACCTTGTACCGCGCCTGCTCACGGTCGTAGATCTTCTTCAGCGGGACCACAGCGGGGGCGAAGCAGTGGCCTAGCTTGGCCAGCAGGACCCCGTTGCGCAGGGTCTCCTCCAGCTCGGTGGGGGGAGGCAGCCCCTCACCCAGGCAGGTCTCCATCCAGCTGGCAGGGCAAAGATGGGGCGCGTCACAGACCCCAGCACCCCACCAGGCAGGAAAATCACCCAAAGGAGACCCCCCGAGACCCCCTCCCCATAAACCCCACAGGGTGCTGGTAGGGGAGGTCAGCCCCCAAGCCCTTTGCCACCAGGTGGTTCTCAGTTTGGGTGCTCAGCTGAGAGCCTCCCCCCAAAAACCACCCCCAAAACCATCTTTGAGGGCCACAAAGCCGCAGGGTCTGGGCAGGATTCTGCAGCATTATAGCCACCCCCCCCCACCAGACCCCCTGCCCTCATCCCCTCCCCTTTGCACCCCTTTTCCCCCACAAATCTGAGCTTGAGGGGCTCTCCAGGTGCAGCCCCACCGCTTGGCTTCCTCCAGGTGACACAGGTACTGATAGGCAATGTTCTGCCTCCTCTGCTCGTCCATCTCGGCCGCAGTCAGGCGCTCACCTGGGCAGTGATGGGGGTCCCCATTAGAGCCCTCTGCTCAGGGGGGCTTTTGGAAGCCCCCATGGCCACCCAAACTAAATCTGGGAAAGGGAGGCAGGCTTTTGGCACAGCAGCCTCCCACAGCCACGTGGGGGAGGCACCAGCATGACGATGACACCAGCCAAGCCCTTCAGGCGGTTGGAGGAAGTTTCCAACTCCCTTTTTTCCCAAATAACGGCCACAGCTGGCACCCAGAGCTGGCACCAGGGAGCGGGGGCCCAGAGCCAGCACTCAGGGGGACACAGCTGCAGGTTTGGGATCCTTTGGCACTGCTGGTGCTGGAGGCACCCACGACTGGAGGGCTGCCCACCACCAAACACTCCTCAAAACATGTCCCCCTGTTTGTCCCCAGGTGCCTGGGACCCTACACACTCCTGCCCCTCCTCTACCCACACACTCAGACCTGCCTGTTCCCCCATCCCTCTGCATCCCCAGACCTACCAGCCCCTACATCCCCCTCTCCCCCCAGATTCCCCTG